GGGCTCTTATTATTTTACACACACTCCAGCGCTAGCACACATGCGAGCGCACACACACGTGCACATACACACATACAAACGCCAGCGTCCTCTCATGTGGTACGACAGTTGCCAGTGGCGTGCCTTCTTTCACCAGCGTGAACCAAACAGTGCCGCGGCTGCAGCTCCTGTCGCTACTGCACGACGGAGGGGACTTTCCCGACGAGAGTCACGGACGGAGAAAGTAGTGAAAACCAGAGATAAAAGGCCGGTGGAAGGAAGGAAGAGTGTGGTTTTCTTCAAATATGGCATTTTATTCTAATGATCCTGACATGGTTCACTCTCTAATCACATTCATTTACACACACGTACAACCACACGTGCACACTTTGTTTGTAGGGTGGCAAAAATAAACAAAAAATAAAATTTCATTCTTTCACTGAAACACTGGCCAAAATTCCATGTCATTTTCCATCCATAAAAATTTACTTTAAATAATATCAAATATTTTGTCGTGCATACACACCAGGTATCCTGTTACGACGCGGCCGAGCTCCCACGTTTCTTTTCACTTCTTTTGTGCCGCTTCTGAATGCTGTGACGCCCCCTAGAGGACGTAAACCTTTCTCTTAGAAAACCAGTTTTGCCAACAAATGCTCTCTTTGGCTAAACTTTATAGTTTTTCTTTCTTAAATCAAAGCTTTTAATGTCTTTTTGCTTCGTTTTGATGAACACCTTTGATAAAGATTAACGAGGCATTTGATCACCTTGAAATAAGTCATAGCATAAATTTAAAACCTGTGTTGCTGTTGTCTATTTGTTTGTTTAGATATATTCAGTATTTTGGTCTTGTGTTCTACACAGTTGTACTTCCTCTAACATTGACTCCATCAATGGCATCAATGCAGCGTTTGTAAATTGACCAAAATAAGAACTTGAATGAAAACTATATAACGTAGTTTCAACAGTCCCACTCTTCCCTGCCCGGCTCCAGCGGCCCAGCCCGGCCCGGCCCGGCCCAGCCCAGCCCAGCTCGCAGGCTGCACATCTGTTGGTGAGGTCAGCGACGGCTTCCCATCGCAGTAACATGAGAATGATGGATGCCTCGGCCACAGAGGGTTTTTCTGTGGTTTCCTCCTCTATAGAGCTCAGGTCCACAGTCAATCTGTTCGCCTTCCTTCATCTGCCTCATTTTCCCTTCACTTATCTTCCCGCCTTTTATTTGAAGGAACAATGCCATTCATAAAAACGTTGGTTAATAATTAGTCTAATTATTCATTCTCTCTCTCCCTCCCTCTCTCTCTCTCCCTGCCTCTGTTTCTCTGGCTTGTCTTTCTATTTTTTTTGCTCTCAGATCTGGGGCCATGAAGAAAACATTGGGCAGGGCTATCCTGGGTTAGGTCTATATAAAGAAGGCAGAGTAATATCTGTAATACGGCCCACATCTCTCTGTACGGAGGAGCAGCTAAAGTCCTAAAAATGGTTCTCACAGTGATTACATTTTTACTGGTCTTCAGCTTTTAGTAAAAGGGAAAAATAAATTTGTAATCTGATTGTTCGCATGTGAATTGTCATTGTAATTAAGCACAATAAATTATGATTAATTTAGAAAGAACATTTCTAATCTGATTGCTTGCAGGTTAATTGTCATCATAATTAATCATATTTAATTCCAAATTTTTAATTATAAAAGTAGTAGTAGTAGTAGTACTAGTAGTAGTACTAGTAGTAGCCTCACTGTATTTTATTGGTATTGCGTATGGTGGGGTATAAAACCAGATGCATAATTAAAATGAAAAAATACTTTATAAGAGACTTAAACGGCCTCAGATGACTGTGGTGAGAAATATATGGTCAAATATATTTAGTCAATTTTAATGTCTGCAGAACCCTCATGAATGCACATGTTCTCAATCAGCCAGAGTCTGGTACTGACGCAGTTCTACACTGTCCACGGACCATTGAGCAGCTTCAATGTGTCGCCGTCTCTGGTTCTGGTGCTGGTCCTCTTTGAAGAATTACAAAGAAATAACTGTGGGGGGGGTTCAAACCATTTTTAAAAACGCATTTAATAAAACTGATCTGACCTTTGTATTATCCACAGCCGTGTGTCAGTGTGTTACTGCTGCCTGAACATCTGGATTTCCACCATGTGACTGCAGTTTGGTAAAAGCATCAACATCTGCTTTAACAGTTACATTTGACTTAGTTATAGTTATTAAAAGTTAGTCATAGGAATTTGATTTAAGGAAATAAAAAGTGTGTAAAATATTTCAAATATCATTGTTTTTACTCCTGTTGTTTGCCTGTTGACTTAGTATGGGGGAAAAAATTACAAAAATAAAATAATTATACCAGTTAGCAACATGGACATTAACGATTGTTGTTATGAAAATAAATGGTGTAAATGTTAAAACCTGCAGACACACAACAGTGGGTATTAATATAAATTATTATATTATATCCAGAGTCAGTAGTTACATCTGTCTGTGCCTCTTATTTATCATTCATTTTAGACTTAAAAAAAACCTAACATCTGTTGTGTTGTCTTGTCAGACTGCAGTGAAGTTTCTGTAACAGATTTAATTTGGTTTTCTGCCCCTCTGCCCCTCCTGTCTGCCTCACAGGGTAATCAGTTGATCACAGTCACCTGGATTCGTTGAGTCTCACTCGTGACACCTGGTGCCCACACTTTGTTGGTTCCTGGTCCCGTTGTCGTGGACCATGTCAGTTGGTGAACTGTCGCAGTGGAGATGTCTGTGAGGTCAGTGGTGATTCGTCCGTCCTCCAGTCTGTTCCTAGAATTCTACCTGCGTTAAGTCTGTTCTGTTTTTATTAGTTCTGTGTGTTTTATATCACTGTAAAGCTGCTCACATCGTAGTGACAGCGGTAACAGGTTCTAGTAAAGTATAGTGGATATAATTAAATCCACCTATTTAATGTTGAATCGATGCATGTACACAAGAGTGAACTTTAACCAGTAAAATATAAACATTTGTGATTTATTATTTATTTTTTGGCTACAAACTGTCATTTCCGGCCGGACTATTGAGGCACCGGAATATAAGCCAAACCCGCTAAATTTAAGAAAAATAATTGTACATTTCTATAAGCCGCAGATGTCTGCTGTACGCACCCGCTAAATTTAAGAAAAATAATAATTGTACATCTCTATAAGCCGCAGATGTCTGCTGTACGTTGTAACATGGGATATTTACACGGAAAGAATTTTTTTAACTTTTAATTAAATAAATGCTTTTTTCCGAACATGGGGAGACTTGTTGATTTGCTCTCGGTCCGAAGTTAGCATTAGCTCCGGGGCTAACTCCCTTCACTTTGTGCTTGTCCGCAAATAGAAACACGGAAGTTCTCGCTATCGTCCTTTCGCGCGCGCGCCCCACGCACAGATACTGTACGCAACAGCCATTCACAGACAGACATACGCTACTAGTATGTATAACACACAGTAGCCTACGAAGTCATTACGTTTATCTTCACCAGGGCTAGTGTAGCTAACGTTAGCTCTGTTGTTTGCTAACAGGTGTGTTTTGATTGAGGGGGAAGCTGAAGTTCTGAGGTGATAAGAAAACTTTGTTACACAATTTGTACACGACCAGAAGTTTAAAAAGTAACATTATAGCAATATTGGTCTTGACTTTAAATACTGTTCCCGATATTTCCTTGTGACATTAGCCCTCACTTCCTGTGAATTTTCTTTGCAGGTGACAAACTCAAGATGGAATACTGCCCCTTACACCGCTGGATGCATCTATAATATGTTTCAGAAATTGGGGTATGATTAAATTCTTTATCATTTTAATGTAATTGTCAGCTGTAAATACTGTTTGTAAAACTTTAAAGTGTTAGCCCGGCCTGGTTCATTCACCGTCTCAATGTTTCTCAAATGTTTTGCAAAGACATAAACAATTAAGCTCCGCCATTTGGCCTAAGATCCACAGTGAGTCACCAACTTGTGTCTGGTGGGTCACCACATGTTCTCTATGATTCAGTAGCTTTCTGTCTCATGATGTGACTGGATTCCCAAAGATAGCTGCCAATTAAAAAGAAAAAAAAAACCCAAAAAATCCTCCACTCTTCTACGGTCTTTTTTTATTTACAGCACTGAGTGATTTACCAACGACTGCAGCTTTCTTATTGCGCTTCACACAGTTTCCACAGTATAAATCTCCTTGCCTGTAAAGATGTCCAAAATGACCATAAATTGCTCTGCATGTGGGACGAAGGCTTTGATTCTCGGGGCAGACTAAGTAAAGACATGGGAGTCATTAGATGAGGAGGTTCGTGCTCGCCCCCGCTGAGTGGGACGGCTATCTGCTGTCACTAAATAACAGGGTGGGGTCGACTCCCGTATCAGGTGAATGACTGGTTGTCACTCGTGATTATCAGGAAAACAATCACGAGTTGAAATATCAGTGTTTGATCACTAACGTAGACATTACAGGCTCCTTGGTGGGAAAAAAGGTGAACGCCTCTTTAATTACTGCGTGTTAATTAAACCATGATCTCTGCTGAGATTTAAAGAGAAAACCTTGGTCTTTAGGTGAAATTACAGACTTTTCACTGAGAGTTTGTTCCTCTATAAACTCGACGGAGAAGCTACTCTTTAGCAGTGATCATGTTAAATGATATTGTTCTAGACATACAATTAAAATTATAATATCGTTTTTATCTTCACAGACCAGGGCGGGTCAAAAGGTTTTGATAGATGTTATGATTGTTTTCTTTTTCTTTCTTTTTTTTTTTGCTTTGTATTTACATGTATAATACATATGCATATGTATTTATTGTAGAAGAGATATACAGTGCCTTGTGTAATTTTATTTTTTTACTTACTACTATGTGTGTGTGTATATATATATCTGATGTATTTTCATTACATGTTACTTCAGGAACTGCTGACACCTGGAGCTTCAAGCTGCCGTGCACACGCTGTGGGAATGAAGGCCCGGAGTTACCGTAAGTGTTTTTGTGACTCTGCATTGAGTCACTGTTTTTGAGTTGCTCACAAATTGGGTCAAAGGTCAAATCAGTTCCTACTTGCCCATTGGGAAAAAGGCCCATTTCCTGTTGCTGAAATCTTCTTGTGTGGCGACTAAGATTAGATGTCGGGGGAGGGTCGAGCAGGGACTGCACTAAGAAAATAAAAGTTGTAATCACCGGGGTATTTACAGGAACGTCCTCTCCTTCACTCACTCTGGAGCTTGATGTCATGGTACAGCTGTACCAGATGATCTTCACTTTGTTTTGGCTGTTTTAGAGTGTTTGTGTTGAGGATTTGTTTTTTGTTAGTGTTCGTGCTAATATTTTTTTTTTTATACAGACCTCACTGCAGATATGATGTGACAACGTTGTCTTGGAATGTAGAATTTTTCTGAGTCTCCACATTTTGATTTCATCTGACCTACGCCCCTGTGATGGAGTTTTAATCCAGCATGATTTGGTTACCGTGATTAAGCTTAAACTTACACTCCATCACTGAAAAACCCTTCCAATGTGTAACGTGGACTTTTAATCCAGTCATAAGGAACAGGAATGTTTAAAACTGTGTGGAAATAATAATAAGACTTTTTGAAGTAACTTTAGTTTTGAATGGTACTGTATGGAACTGACAGTAACTGGAATATTTCCAGTCACTGCTCTATTTTCCTGGTCTTGCATCAGAATGTTGGTTAGTTTAAAGAGTGGCCACTGATACAGCCATACAGGGTAAGATGTTGATAGGCTGTTGTGGCTAATGTTAGCTCTGGTCTCTGTTTTAGCAGCAATATGTTTTGGTCGTACCTGCACTTTATTTATTATTTATTTTTTAGTTTGGCAAAGTATAGGTGCAATACTGCCATCTGGCATGCAGGGGAGTGTGTGGCAGTAAATTACAATTTGTTAAAATTTTGTTTGCTGATTCCTGAAATAGAAATGTGTACATATTAAGGAATCATCAACAAAAAAAAGAGAAGCACGTTTCAACTGTAAACCCTGCAAAATATCTTCATGCATGTTTAAATGCCACGTCTGCCTAAAGGCAGCAGCTGGAATGTTTTTGGTTCCACAAAGCCACCATTAACACCCTGCCAGCATCAGCAGGTAATTTATTGCTTTAATTACAGACAGAAAGGAATACAAGAAAGACTGTTTCACCAGTCTAATAGGTGTGACGCCTGTAGGTCCTCAAGGGGTCGCACGGGGTCATCGTCACTCTTCATAAAATGAAGTCAAAGCCTGGGAATCTAAAACGTATGCAAATGTTTTCAGCATCTTTAGAAGTCTACAGGTAGATGAGACAACCTGCTGAATTTATCTAAAAAAAAAAAAAAAAAACTTTGATGTTGAAGGTTTTAAAGAACGTTTTTATGCTGTTTTAGCTTTATTCTCATTTTTATTAATATAGAAATTCCTCACCATTTAATATTTATCGACTTTGCTCTGACAAATATATATAATATAAATAAATAGTCGCTCAGGTATTCAGTTCTTTTGATTTTCAGGAAACCCCTTATTAGTATTAAATAGTTAAATTTACAAAGTTGTGACGGTAAAATCATCTACAGGTGTTGGTGATTAAAATCAGAAGTCTTTTTCAGTCTTTTTGACCCTTTACCCTTGTGAGTCTGACTCATGGAAGCCTCCCTGCTATAGTGCTAGGCCAGTGTGGAATGTCTGTGGAGCATCATCTCCCTCTCGCTCTCTGGTAGTTAAGTACTACGTGTCCTGCTCTTTGGAACTTCTGTTGCTGACTCTGGATCAGCCATCCAGTATCAGCAACAGCTGTTCAAGGTCAAAACCAATTGCACCAGATTTAATGAGTGCCTTTGGTGGTGATTCAAATACCGACTGCATTCCATTCCCATGGCATTTTTTAAATATCCAACAATTTCTTCACCAACCAAAGCCACAGGAACATCAACCAGTTTCACCCCGAGAGAGATTTTAGAGCTGGAAAAAAAAAACAAAACTGTGCTGGTTCAAATCCCTGCATGGTTCCATATGTCCACGTCCGTCCAAGTCTGGTCGGGTGTTTGTTCTGCCGTGTATTTGCATATATACGTACATCTACAGTGTACTCAGATGTCTGGTTTATGATGCACTTGCAGTTTTTTTTTCTTTTCTTTTCTATATCTTCCATATTTGTGCGGTGGCGTGCACGCTAACGCGAGTTCACATCAGTGTGTTTGTGTGTGTTTGGGTAGCTGTGGGTGAGCAGGGTGGGGCCAAAGACCCTGATGTGGTCGCTTCTGCACTACTTCAACACATGGCGATGGGGGCAAAAGGCTCAAGGCATGATCGAGAAAGTCTGGGAACCTAGTGGCGTGTGTGTGTGTGTGTGTGTGTGTGTGTGTGTGTGCTCAGTCAGATGGTGGACGACTGATGTGACAGTAGTGATGATAAAAACGCAGTATCATGATGTCGGCTTGGGAATGTTTGCTTCAGGTACTTGGCACAGATGTCTAAATACCCCCGCCTCCTCCCCCACCTCGCCCCTCCCACCCTCCAGGGCTGCGGTGTGATTGCCGTCAGTCGTTGTGAGAATATACAGTACTTA